TTGATGGTTTTAAAACAAACTTCCTTAAAAGAGGGCGCTTTTTGCAATTAACTTAACGATCCTTCAACGCTAAAGAGTTCTGCCACTCAAGCCTCTTCTAATGGAAAATAGTTCTAGAAGTGTGTTTGATGGAGAAGCACGACTATTATGTTGACAGTAACCTTCACGGAATAAGTTTATGGCTTAATTATGTGTGTAAGCGGTCGTATCTTGGTAGTATTACCAATCATTAGAGTCTTTCTATCACAATTACTGTGTGCATTTTCGATTTGAAGTACGGAAATCTGTGCGAGATTTCTTGAAGACATGCGTCTACAGTATTATGTAGACACGAACAGTAAATATACGCTGATTGGTCAACTTTCTTTATGACAAAACAACAAACGTTATGGACCATTGATTAAAACTAGATAAAAAATTCCATGAAAGATTCTATTTATTAAATATCCAATATTAATTGGCTATAATATCGATAAGCAATAACATCTCAATTTATACATTTCTTTTTGATGTTTGTTCTTATCAACTATTAAAGTATTATTCTAAATCATACCTCGTGTTCTTTATGAAATATAAAGTGAATAGCTCTTGCAACTGCGACAAAAGGAAATTTGAAGATGTTTGATTTAGAGGAGCCATTAAACTAAGACAATTTTATTTTCATCTAAATTAGTATTTGATGTTATATTGCAATCCATTCATTTGGAGGATCAATAAATTGTTCTCTTTAAATGAGCGTATATTTTGAATAGACATTTTGCAGTGAATTAATAGCCTTTAATTAGGTTAAATGAATTTTCATTCCTCTGTCGGTTTTCACCATTTTCGTCGAAGCTGTCAGAACGTTAGAAGAAGACCACAATAGACCATGGACTGTCTGTACGTATCGTTTTACTCCATAAAATTTTAAGGGGATTAAAAAATTTCATGCTAAGTGTGCCGAAAATATAGTACTTAAATATCCGCGCCTCTTGCCGAGAGTTTGCCCTGTTCACCTATCATCTCAATATCAGGCCGATTTCAGACCAATCAAACGACGTTATTTTTATATATAAATCCGCTGGTTGACCTTTTCTAGTTAGACGAGGTCAACTTTCTGTAAATAATCTGACCGACAAAAAGAAGTGATCAATTCATCCGGAATCGAAATATACAATGTATTGTGCATGATGCAAGACATATTTTACTCTATCCATAGGAAAATGCAGTGTTAAATCGTATCATTAAAAACAGTTACATCGGAGGTTTGTTTCTGTTAGATATTCCCAGACAAAAAAGGGAATAATCACATTATTAAAAATGCCCAAGACATCATTGGAGCTTGACAATAAATAAGAATGCAATTGGGAAAATATTACAGGCCACAAAACCAATTTCTTTCCGATTGTTAAACACAAATAATATGGTATATCATGAATGCCAATACGGTCCAGTGCTTTCTAAATAAGAGAGCGTTTGTAATTTGTAATGTAGTAAAATATGTTTTGATGTAACAATAGTTAGTGGTGTATAAAAGAGGAGACAGCGATTATAAACTTTAAATCACGATGTGATTATCTCTAGTATTCAATTCAGGACACGTGCGATGTAAAGTAGATATTTAAAAGAAATGGTACCTCTAAATATCCCGTTGTGAGGGTGGGGGATTATTTATGTTAACCTGGCTGTAGGTACGTCATAGACCATCAACGCACCTGGGTTTTATAGTTTTTCTCATTCCTAATTGGGACGCTACAATGTTCATGTAATCTCTTATACCATTTTAAAAACCACCGAGGACACGGTCATAATCTCTGACTAATGTACCTTTTATCAAATCTCACTTTTATTGTGGTTTTGATTGTGTAATTAACTTCAAATAAAAAAAGACCAAGAGATACATTGTATATTCCCTTTTCGAGGGAAACAGTGACTTAACGGCAACGTCTCCAAAATCAGTTTGTCAAGCTTTTCGATTAACCAAAAATGTTTATCACATCGCGCGATTAAGTGTTTTGATTATAATAAAGCAATTATTGTATATCTTAAGTTGTTGGGTCTTCGGGACATTGACAAATCATTTGAAATATATGAAAACTTTTTGATTCAAAAACATCAGGTTCATAAAATGGATCTGTAGATGAAAACCACTAAAATTCCAAATTTCTCGCCATCTGAATTTTAAATAAAAAATTTTTCATGTTTATTTTGTTTTTTCCAAAGGTTTAATTACGAAATTGAAATATTTGGACTGTCGTAGACATTGATCCCCGAAGAAACAAATTTAAAATTCTTTCAGAAAATCTTTCAGAATCATAGATGTTGTCATGTTCACATTTATTTTTCTCTGCTTCATTAGCCAATCACGTACGAAAGGACAAATTAATACACAGAAAAAATTACCGTCTTCAGTGTTTTTTGTTGTTGAAATTTCAAATATAAATATTGATATAAACGCATTGAGAGTTTGGCGAGCTATTGTGGAATTTTAATGAGGTTTAACCATATTTAATATTCAGTTCACAAACTACTTACAACAAATGACTGTCATAATTGTTATATGATGACAAAGAGAATTGACTGCCTATGCAGCAACAGACGATTGTTGGATACAATTGAAGTATTAGAATCAATCGGTAGCAAAACCAGATCTATGTGATTTATGCCGACGTACAAAAAAGATTAAGAGCATATACACCAAAGTTCGGTCAGTGTAGTCGCACTTCATTATGTTTTGTTGACGAAACACTTACTTTCATATCCAAATATTTCTGTAGAAAGGCATGAGTGGCCTCCCTTCAACAACTCTTCTAAAGCCTCATTAGCGTAATAGTTTGCTTAATTTGAACCGTATTATTTATACAAAGTTTACTGATGCACTGTATCTCACAGTGCTCGTTCATCATCTTATGAATACAGAGAAAGGGTAATGAAACTTAAGTATGTTTACAGTGACAAATATATTCTCAAGTTCTGGTTATTTGAGTGCTTCGTTCATTTTAGTGAGCAATCTACCACCACCTGGGTACATAAAATATCATTGTTATATACATACAGTCGACTTTTACTCACCAAAAGATCTTAAATGTGACAAAATGATCTCGGGGTTAGTTAGTAAAAATTTTCACGTTTTCTCGTGTAAGAAATGTTTTCAAGCCGCTGGTGTAAACTTTTATTAACTTCTCATCACCATTGCAACAGTTAAGTGATATAGACGATATTACAACAGTTAAGTGATATAGACGATATTACAACCAGTGACGGATTAACCTATATACAAACTAGGCAGCTGCCTTTCGGCCCCTGACAAATATTAAACAGTTAGTAAATTTCCGCAGGCCAATCGAAAATTCGGCCCAGTCGATGAGAAATTTCTTCAGATAAAACATACTAAACTTCCTTATACAGGTCACGCAACCTTAGCACTTGCAGGGAAGAACAGTTCTCTTTTTAAAATTGTGTACTCTTACTCTTTCTTCCATTCTTTAATGTTTCTGTGACCTACATAATTTTTTAGTTTATTATCTCCCTTGAAAAAATATTTATTTGTTCATCTAACCTTGCTGAACGTGTCATTTCTTGTCAGATTAGTGCTGTTCATCGTAGAGATAGAACCTTTCTCACCTGTACTCTTATTGTACCGACTTTTTACCTACCAACCTACCGTTTGCACGTTATCGTGTGATTTATATTTTCTTGTTTACTAGTCGACTTTTTATTAGAATACCGTTCGATATTCATATCCCCTAGATTAACTCAGTTTGATCAATCCAGTTACTGCATTTAAAATCACATTATTTCACCGCTGCAATTTTTTTTAGATCTTGAGAAAGTGTTCGATTTGGTCAGAACTGACCAAACCCAGATGCTACCGTATAATCTTGATTAAAGGGAGATAACACAGATGAAACACCGACGTTTAACGAACAAAAGGTCAGTGCTTCTTAATCGGGGTTGAGATTCACCCCAGAGGGTGAATAAGCGCGAACATTACTAGATGTGGAGAACTGTGTCAGAAGCTGACCAGACTGATACCGGACATTTAATCTTTAAAAACATCAAGCTCAAGACTCATAACTATCCTCATTATCAAATTCTGATTATTTTTCGTAATTAAAAGTGATATTCAATAAATGTGAATAAAATTATTTACTAGATTGAAAGGGGCCTTTGGCAGATGTGAGGTGAACAGTGTGAAAAAGGTTGAGAAGCACTGGTGTAGGTTTTCAACCACAGGGACATGTTCCCAAGTGGGTCATTTGCACTTTCTTTTCTTTTAGACACTATGTTTAACATCTTATTTTATACACGGCCTCTGCTAAATTGTCTCGATGGATTCTTTACTTTATTTTGTACATGTAATCCATATTACCTTCGATATCTGGGGATATTGTATTCCGCTATAAATGTATTCAAATACTGTGGAATTTGGTCATAAATTCGTCTGGTCATGGAACGAATGATGGAGGAAACACACTAACTGTGTTCCACTAAGAAAAAAGTCAGCTTTAAGCTGTAAATTTTGTTCGACTTTGTGATCGAGACTAAAGTTTGCTTGTTGCAAATCTTTAATGCTGTAAACCTCACGAAAACAAATTTTTGTGAGTTTAAATGAATAAGTAAGGTTTTAGGATTGGTATGAAAATTCCACGCGACTGGTCCAATTTACCCATCACAGAGGATAAATTGGACCTGGGTATCGGCTAATTCGGACTGTAGCATATATTTTATAATGTTGCAAAATCAGAGAAAAATATCATTTATTTTAAGTTAGACAAAATTGCTTAACAAGTAACATCAAATTATGAAAATATTTTGCTTTAAAGGCCACTGTCAGAGGCGTAAAGTCGGTAAGAATGAGGCCCGTGGGAACAAAAGCCATTTACAGAAACAAACAAAATTGGATATAAATAACGCCCATTTGTGTAGTTCATACTTATCCAATTGGGTTACATCAGTCACAAACAAAACCAGGGCCAATGCACAAAGTAGAACCCCATTTTTACAAATATCGCACTGGATCATTTCATCTTGTCGGCTTTCGGCGCAATAAAAGCAAAACCAATCATCATTAACACTTGAGACTGACACTTGACTTCGAGATCCTCTTTTTGATACTTTTTGTATCTTAACTGGAATTGGAGAAATATCGATTGGTCTAACTCGATCATTACATTTTACTGTGCCTTTAGAAACACCCCCAGCATCATTATTAGTTTGAACAGAAGAATTATCAATTATACAATTATAATGCCCAATGTCGCTTCCTACAATAGTGTACCTCACTTTCACTAGCAGAGAGTATTCTAAATCACCATTGAAGCTAATGCATGTATTTTGATCATTCAACACATGTATTGGTCTCTCTATCACGGATGAAGCAGCTAAAAGTTCCAATTCACTAGCCATAGTTTGTGGTTGGGCCATTGATGTATTTCTTCCTTCCATTGTCCATTTGTACTTTACATAGCTTGGCATGTCAGCATTCAAGGCGTCTTCATTTGTAAATTAAGATACATTTTCTGGACTACCTGGTGACGTATATGATCGGCCTGAACCTGTTCGTGAAGAAGTAGAAGTGAATCATTCAATAAACCATTGGTGTTTCTTGTGCCATTCTGTAAAAGTGCTTCGTTGCCAAAGCAAGGCTACTAAACAGCCATCTGCCATCAGATGCTGCTCTAATAACCAATTGGGTTTCCTTAAAGATAGGCGGAACAATTTCTTCTGCAACCGAAACTGCATGGTTTGCCTGGATGAGTACACCATCAACCAATTGGTTGTTTCAAGTTGATGGACAAAATTCTTGTACTTCAAACACTCCTCGTGAGCAAGGACAAATACCACATTTAGCAAAACCCTTCACTTCAGTTGATATTGTAGATGCTTTGATGTAAGCTGTGGAAAACAGTTTCTAAACCTCGAATTGAGTCACACCCCTTCAAGGATTGTCTCGCATCCAACTATCAATTGTTTGGTTATAATAAGTTTGTAACTAACATCCAAGGGTTGTAATCTATGAGTTGTGTGGGGTGGTAGAGACAGCATTCCATTACGTCGGGCATAGTTAATGGCTTCTAGGTTTTGGTGTGAGAGTAATGACCATCCATTATTATCAGAACAGGACTTTCCATTGTCGACTTTACTGTGTCACCAAAATGTTTTATCCACATTTTCCCCTATCATTCACCGTTTTTTTTATTGTTAATGAATATAATTTTGATGAATATAGATGTGGAACTGTTCGTTATATCTAGAAACTTGACCTTATCCCTTGAAACTTGACCTTAGCCAACCCTATTCTTACCTGAATATCCGAAGTGGGGTCAATCTACAATTAATTAGATAAACTTAATAATTATAAAGTTTTATTAGGTAATCATAAATAAGAAATTCAATACGATATTTTCTAAACCTCAAACGTGAAAATCAATGCAAATTCAATACAAACATTGTATGGATCTATACCCAAGTAAATTATTTAGAATAATTTTTAACCATTCAATGGTCCAATAAGCGCCGAGGGGTACCTAATCATTTTAATTTCATTATTTGATTTTATTTGAACATATATATCTACGATCACTTTGTTTCATTCTCACGGCTTTAGTGTAGAAGGAAATAGATCTACTTTGTAGTTAATAGTTGTATGTAGCATGATAATCTGGATTAACTCCCCTTAATTGTTTACTTTACAGCGGTTAGTTTATCAAGTTAATCAGGAATGACCAAAATCATACATTAGAATAGATTTCAAGCACACGGAAGCTATCACCTTTAGGTTATACATTACATGTATATGTGGTCTGGTTGTTTTGTAGTCTCGCTCATCCAGGTCGAAACACCAAGCTATGTCATATCCGGTAAGTCTTTTTGGACTAACAGGAACCACGGGCGTCAGACAGGAAGTTTGAATGTCCCATACGCAATGAGCTTAACCTCCGAATCCGTAGATGACATCCATGACAGTGACGGTCTTCCTCTTGACATGTTCAGTGTAGGTGACGGCATCTTGGATGACGTTTTCTAAGAAGACTTTCAATACACCCCTGGTTTCTTCGTAGGTAAGAGGATATTCAACAATCAGTTACTGATGTGACAATTAGTCTTAACTATACACCTTTTCCTTCTACATTCTACCATTTAAGAATTAATCGGATATAAGACATCGTTATTTAAGTTTCAGTTTTCAGTTCCATGTGGATTAAAATGTTTAGACCGGGATAACATGAAGTTAAAGGAATAGATCACATTAAAATGAACATAAATACACAATACCAATATTATATCCATCAGTGGACTAACCTTCTGTAATCCGATAAATCCACAAAATTAAGTAATCAATTATATAACGCTGAATACATCCAGTATGCAATTTTCAAATTGCGAGTCTTGGAAATCCGTTGTAAGTAACTCTCACTCGGGGTTTCCCGCTTCCTTGACTACTACTCTTGAATTGACCTCGACATCGTCAGACATTTTTTGAAGAATGTACGATATATAAATTCACGGAAGATCCAATGTAACGTATCCAGGATCAGACGGTGGAAGTTTGGGAGGTATAAGAACAGATTAAAGGGTAAAAAGCTGAAAAACTGAGATAGTGTCCTCAGGACTAACAAAAAGGTGAAAGTGAATAAAAATTTGTATGAAGGTTCTTATAAATAACTGGTAGAATTGGAAATATTTAAGTTAAGATTTTTTAGAAGATATAGTTTTCCCTGAAAGTTTTGAATTATCTGATTTTTATGTCACTTAATAAGAATTTATGAGCTTGCTAATAGTACTATTTAGTTCATTTGTATATAAGAAACGAAAGGAAAAAGTATATTTTATAAAAGTAAAAGAAATATGGCCCTGTAACGATCTCCTTGTTAGCCTGGAAATGCTGACAGACCATTTTTCCATCAGATAAACAGAGTAGTTGTTTTTGTGAGAAAAACTAACTCTGTGACATGACACTCCTCGCCTGATTTTGACACAAAATCAATATTTGTAAAATTTACATGTTTATGTGAAACAGGGAATAGATACAAGTTCCTTAACTATTCGGAGAGAAGCAAAACCATATCGGTGGTTGGTCGAGTGAAATGATGACATTTACCATCCTTAAAGATTTTTACCTGTGCTTTTCGAACTAACTTGTCTTGACTAGGGAAGATATTTGTTACGATAGCTACGCACCAGTCATTCATTTGGGTGTTCTTATCTTTTAACGGGACAATATCATTTATTTTGAAATTAAATTGTTGATGTAGCCACTTACCTCCAAAATCGGTCCGCCAAAGCTTGGACGTGTTTCCATTGGATTCTGTACTTACCTTTCATGTCAATGTCGGTGAAATCAATGGATTCGAGGGAAGGAGAAGGACATTTTTGAGTTAGTAGAGTGTTGGGAACAGAACAGATGGAAATTGTGGATAGGATGAGACAGGAACAATTGGTCTTGAATTGACTATAGCAGTTACTTCTGCCATGAAGGTTGAAAGGGATTCATGAGTGAGACAGGCTTTGTTGTCTTGGAGTCCAAAACACGTCTCACCATGCCGATCATTCTTTCCCACACTCCTTCCATGTGTGAAGAATGTGGAGGGTTGAATTTCCAGACAATCCCTTTATTGTAAAGGAATTGTTTGGTGTCTTCAACATTTACAGTGTTGACTTTAAGGAGGTCTACAGCCCCAATGAAATTAGTGCCTCTATCAGATCTTAATTCTTTAACTTGACCCCTAAGAGAAATAAAACGTCTAAGAGAATTGATGAATGATGATGAAGTCATCTCTGCTATCAACTCGTTTAGCTAAGGAATGACCACCTCTGATTTTTCTCGCAGTTACTGACCATGGGCCAAAAACGTCGAGACCTACATAGGAAATTGGTGGACTTGGTTGAAAGCGTTCTGGAGGCAAATCGGCCATAATCTGTTGATCTGGTTTGCCACGAAGCCTTTTACATTTAACACATTTATGAATAAGAGAATTGACAAGACGTTTACAACCCGTTATCCAAAGACCTGCTGACCTAACAGCGCCTTCGGTAAGGTGACGACCTTGATGTTTAACCAAATTGTGATAATGCCTAATAAGAAGAATTGCAATATGATGTTTACCTGGGATGATTATAGGATTGCATTCTGGAGTAGAAAGTGTGGACCTGTTGAGTCTACCGCCTACTCGAAGAATGCCACATTTATCCAGAAATGGATTTAGTGAAATAATTGAACTTGAAGAATGAATTTGTTTATTTTCCGTGATACTGTTTATCTCAGTATCATAGTATTCTTTTTGTACAGATGAAAATATGAAATTTTCGGCATCACTGTGAAAATGTGTGGTTTTGTATTTATTGCAAGAATGCCAACCTTTACAGGTGTCTCTACCTGCAAAGTCTCGGGAGATATGTTTCAAGTGAGCAATTGTCTTAACTAGAATAGACCAGGAGGAAAATCGTTCGAATCTGTGTGTTCCTAATGAATGATGATCAACAAGGTTTGTTTTAAAAACAGATACTTTCGGTTTTAACTCTTTGTCATTAGTTTCATCCTTCAATGGAAAATAGTGGTTATTAGAATTATACGTTTCACCAAACAGAAAGCTAGGCCCATTTAGCCACATGCTATCAGACAGATGAGATGACATGTTGCCATGTCTGCTGGATTCTCATCTGTAGGGACATGTGGCCATTGTTGGGGGCGAGAAGATCGTCTGATACGATCTACACGATTACAAACATAAATAAAAAATCTACGAGAGTCATTATATATGTACCCTAAAACTACCTTGCTATCGGAATATAAATATACACAATTAGTGTCAATGTCTAATTGTTCCTGAACTATATCTGCTACTTCCACAGCTAACACGGCAGCACACAATTCTAAACGGGGAATGGTGTGGCCGTGGGCAGGAGCTACCTTAGCCTTACCCAAAATGAAACCTAGTTGAGCCGAACCATCTTGCTTAAAGGATTTGAGATAAGCAACTGCAGCAATTGCGGTTTTGGAGGCGTCATAACAAATGTGAATTTCTTGTTTAGAAATTTCTGGAAAGGGAAAGGTATACATTCGTTTTATGTGCACTTTCTCTAGATTTTGAAGTGAGTTGCGCCAAGTCTCCCAGTGATTTTTCTGGTCCACCGGAAGAGGGTATCCCAGTCCTCTGAATTAGAAATCAGATTTCTGAGTAAGAGTTTGCCTTTAATGGTGCTGCGAATCCAATAGGATCAAACAAACTGTTGACAGTAGAAAGAATTCCACGACGAGTAAAGGGCTTTATGTCAGCAGAAACCTTGAAAGTGAACACATCGTCTATGATGTTCCAACTCATACCGAGACTTCTTTGGATGAGGGCATCATTTCTTAAGGCTAAATCTAAGCCAATGCCTAAATCCTCGGAGGGGAAGGCTTGCATGACTTTGCGACTGTTTGAGGCAATTTTATGAAGTCTTAGATTGCCATGAATTTTCAAGGCTTGTTGCGTCTGTTGCATAAGGTCGATAGCCATGTCTTCATTGGGAAGGGACGTGAGGCCGTCGTCCATAGAAATCTCGGTCTACGAAGGATTTCATGTCTGAACCGTAGACAACTTCGGCACATTTGGCTGTATGACGCACATTCGGTATTCAATAATGTCATTTCTTGAATCGTTGTCTTTGTACCAAAAGAATTTAAGAAAATTGCGATGTGATTCTTTGACGTAGAAACAGTGAAACATTTGTTGAATGTCAGCGGTTATGGCTATAGGGTTTTTTCTGTAGCGCATCAATACACCAAAAAGGTTATTAGTGAGATCCGCACCGGTAGGTAAAACGTCGTTAAGAGAAAGGCCATTTTGTTTTGCAGAAGAATCGAAAACAACTCTAATCTTACCTGGCTTTTTAGGGTGGTAGACACCAAAGATGGGCAAATACCAAGCCTCCTCGCCATGGACGAGTGGTGGTGCTACCTCTGCATGCCCTTTATCGAGAATCCCTTGCATGAAGGTGAAGAAATGATTGCGTTTTTCTTTGTTTTTTGTGAGACTGTTGCAAAGAATTCTAGTGCGACGAAGAGCTTGACCCCTATTGTCGGGTAACCTTGGTCCACTGAAAGGCAGTGGTGATACCCAATTACCGACTGAGCTTTATGAACTCTTTATCTTCTTGAGAATGACCGACTTTGTCATCATCCTTTGTGAGTTGAAATATATTGTTATTTGTTTGAAATTGGAATTTCTCCTTAAAGGAGAAGCTGCTCTCGCAGGGTTGAAACAAAGAGGGTCTACCAGATTTATTGATGTATGTTTTATTAACACTGACATGAGAAGTTGGATGAATGTTTCCAAGACACACATGGCCTATCACAACCCATCCTAAACTTAATTTCTGAGCAAATGGGGAGTTTGGTGGACCTATCCGTTGTTCCAGGACGTGATGAGCATCAACCAAATCTCTGACGATGAGAAGTAGAATTTTGGCATCTTTGTTGATGGGTGGAATTACGACACCATTTAAATGAGGATGATGAAGGCAAACTTCAGGAATAGGGATCTCTTCCCGAGCATTTGGGATATCGTTACATTCGATGATGCTAGGAATAGGTATTTTTGTTTTTCCATCCAAAGACTGAAGTATCAAACCGGAGGCTTTTCTGCCTGAAACGAAGGAACTACCATTACAAGAGGACAAAGAATACTCAATCATTTCTGAGTGAAGATCAAAAATTTCGAATAATTTCGAGTTGCCTAATGTTTTGTTGCTTTAGTCATCAATTATAGCGTAACATGAATGTTTGATAGAAGGCTCATTTGTGTTAGAAATATTCACAAGGATGGTCTTTGCGCATGACCTACCCTTGAATTGGCCGCATATCTTTGTGCATTTGTTGTTCACTATTGTCAGTCATGCTTCATCGTTCTTGGTTTCCTCGCCATGGCTTATGTGTAAATTTTTAAATTGATGCATTGCACTGCAATGAGTCGTGCAGTTGCATAATTCACAACTTATATTTACTTTACAATCCTTTTTTGAGTGGTTTGTTGAAGTACAACACCTTGAACATATTCGTTTTTCCTTAACAAATTTTAGTCTGTCTTCAAATGACTTCTTACGAAAAGACCTACACTGATTGAATGGGTGTTTGGCATTATGAAAATTGCAATAATATTTTGGTGAGAATCTCCATTTGGAGAAGATATAAATGTACTTGGTTCAGAAGAGATTTCGGTCTTTTTCGAAAATACTTTCTCCTTTCTTGGAGGAAAGCTATCGGGTTTTGAAGTTTCGTCGGAAAAGGCCGGATCATTTTTAATTCGTGTCATTTCTGATATAAAGGATAAAAAAAATGAAAAGGAAGATATGGAATATTGTTATTTCTCCTATATTGGGAGGCTCGAGCTGTCCACTTATCCTGGAGAGCGTAAGGCAATTTTGACACTATCGGATTTATACCTGACGATGTGTCATAGTAGGAAAGCAAAGATCTATATCTTGGATTATCCTTTATGGCTTTGATTTCTGATAGAAGATCTACCAAGTCGTACAAACGTGTGAATTCACGGTTTCCTATTCTAGTGAAATTCCTCAATTTGGTGGAGAGATTTTTCTCCACTGTCTCAGGGCACCCGAAGCGTTCTTCTAAGCGCTCCCAGATTTTAGTAAGGCCTAAAGGAGCGGAATGGACATGAGCTGCCCGAATGCTCAGGGCTTCTTTGGACGAATCACTTCGTCAAAAGGTCCAACTCTTCTGAGGGGGTCACCTCCAACTAATTCATAACATTAGTAAAAGAAGATCTCCATAAACCATATTGCTCCGGTACATCATTAAAGTAGATCCTTTTTGAGGATATATATTGAAAGGTCATTAAAAGGATTGGTCGTTGGAGGGGGATTAATACTAGGCATTTCAGCGTCGAAAGAAGGAACAAAGGATTTTACTGTAGGGTTAAACCGTGCTGAATTTGAATGGCTTACCCGGGTTTGGAAAGGTCTGCACCTCAATGGTTGTGGACCATAGTTATGAACGTCATCCGGTTTGGACTTATATAAGGAATGGCTTACCTGTCTAGATCTTTCGTGTAGATATTCTTCTTGGTCCAACACGAATTCCTGAGTTCGTTCAAATTCCCCTTTAGAAGGAACAGAACCAGGAGCTTTAACTTTGGGTTTGAGGTTGATGTCCTGGAGAGCTTCGACCTCCACCTCTATGGCTGCTAACTCTCTTTGCTGCCGTAGCAGGTCTAATTCTGCTGATATAATGGCATTTTGCCTCTTTGTAGAGGCTAGTGATTTCGTCGCCTCCTCCTGAATTTCGGCTTGTCTCCTAATCATCTCTACCTCCTTGGAGGCGAATTCTGCTCTCTTTTTCAAGGCATATGACCTAGCGGTTTTAAAGGCCAAAGTTGTACTGATTGTAGAGTCGACCGAAATGTAGGAGGACGCGCCTTCAGAACCTTTTGAACCTGGAGATCACTATCAAAGTTCACATCCTCATATTGGCTATATCCTTCAACTGTGGCATTGGTTTGATTCTCGGTCATTCTGTGGATTAGGTATTTGTCGACGTATAAACAGGGACGTTGTTAGGACGATGTAAACTGGAAGTTTGATATGGATGATCAAACTGTAGATCCGACAGGAACGTAGTTTAAAAACTGTAGACAGGAACGTAGTTTAAAAACTGGAAGATTGATATAGATGATCAAACTGTAGATCCGACAGGAACGTAGTTTAAAAACTGTAGACAGGAACGTAGTTTAAAAACTAAAAGTTTGATATAGATGATCAAACTGTAGATCCGACAGGAACGTAGTTTAAAAGCTGTAGACAGGAACGTAGTTCAAAAACTGGAAGTTTGATATAGATGATCAAATTGTAGATCCGACAGGAACGTAGTTTAAAAACTGTAGACAGGAACGTAGTTTAAAAACTGTAGACAGGAACGTAGTTTTAAAAACTGTAGACAGGAATGTAGTTTAAAAACTGAAAGTTTGATATGGATAATCAAACTTGTAGGTGTTAATTAAATCGTTTGTTAAAATTGTACGATAGTAATGTTATCATAGGTATTGTACAGATGTGTGAAATATACATAGAACACAACACACGAGTATAATATATAGTACACTATGTATACAGTGATTACTGCACACTATAGGAATATGTCTATACACATTAAGTGTAACACTGGAACACAAGCCTTGACGTAGTCTTTTTACTGTAACGTATCCAGGATCAGACGGTGGAAGTTTGGGAGGTATATTTGTACGTATTCAAAAAACACACTGTGAAAAATACGATAATGTTTATTCCAGTATAATCTTGGACAACTTTATCCCATAAAAAGTCGAAAGAACAGATTAAAGGGTAAAAAGCTGAAAAAATAAAAAAGGGGATTTCATACAATTTACATAAAGAATGTGGGATTATAAATACATATACAAATGAGAATGGTATTGTCAATATTAAATCATTAATAAAAATACACTATTTCTTATATAAATATTCATGAAATACGTTGTCTTCTTTTTAAAAAAGGTTTAATAAATGATAAAAAATGAAAACTCACACTATGGTGGCTTGTGTTCCTTTCAGGAGAAAAACTGAGGTAGTGTCCTCAGGACTAACAAAAAAGTGAAAGTGAATAAAAATTTGTATGAAGGTTCTTATAAATAACTGGTAGAATTGGAAATATTTAAGTTAAGATTTTTTAGAAGATATAGTTTTCCCTGAAAGTTTTGAATTATCTGATTTTTATGTCACTTAATAAGATTATAGAAGAATTTATGAGCTTGCTCATAGTACTATTTAGTTCATTTGTATATAAGAAACGAAAGGAAAAAGTATATTTTATAAAAGTAAAAGAAATATGGCCCTGTAACGATCTCCTTGTTAGCCTGGAAATGCTGACAGACCATTTTTCCATCAGATAAACAGAGTAGTTGTTTTTGTGAGAAAAACTAACTCTGTGACATGACATCCAAGAAGAAGCAATTCATATCATTTTATGATTTCTCCACCACTGACAACGAATATTAATTGTCAGTGATGCAGGTAAGAGGGACTTACATGGAAAAAGCGTCTAGTCGTTCGGATGGGACAATAAACCGAGGCCCCGTGTGCTACAGGCTGTGCACGTTAAAGATCCCTCGACAGTTGGAAATCGAAAAAGAGCAGACTAATGCCGCTGTCCTGGCAAAATTTCCATCATCGCACCCTGCATGGCGTTGCCCGTCTTCATTAGCGCACATGGTGAAGAAAAGTAGGACGTAAAACTCCATTCATTTCATTTCATTTCAACGAATATTAATCATTAGCAAAGTTTGTTTGTATACACCGGAAAATGCTTGCGCATTGATGGGCTTTATCCTTTTTCATATTTTAAAACAATGACGTCTCGACCAACCCTATGACTACCGAACGGATATTGACTGGTAAATGTTGTACGTAGCATAACGAATTATAAGTTACCTCCCGTTAACTTTAACAGCAGGTGTATAGTAAATATTAGGCCAACTTGTTAAATCAAAATATAACTGAATATAACTTCCGACCTTGTTTACCTATAATCTATCCATATAAGTTTTAAATTTAAATTTTCCAAATACTCTTGTTTCATAGTGTGGAAAATGCAGATGTAGAGGGCTACCAGGGAGATCGGGAACACAACATGAGTTTCTTTTGACTTTAAAGTCGGTCCAACGACGCGATTCGTGTTATATTCAGCTAAATTTGTTCTGTAGCAGGACAGTGTTCAATTAGCTCCCTTTAACTAACTTTCACAGCTGAGGCCGTCATTCTTTTGGATACATAGATAATCCAAGCGTCTTAATAATAGCATAAAATGTGCCTTTAATATGTCAAGACAAGGTATCAAGTATTACGAATCACTGTGCAGTACATTATAAAATACTGAAATTAAATCAAACTGTTTCAAGATGTATTCACTGGCCTATCCAGTACCTCATATTACATCAAATTTCCCTTTTTATACGCCCACATCTCTCTATGTGGACGTATATTGTCAGCACCCCTGTCGGTCGGTCGGTCGGTCGGTCGTCCGTCCAGTCCGTCAGTCCGTTAACATTTGCTTGTAAACGCTCTAAAAACTAGATTTTTTGATGGATTCAAATGAAATTCGGTGTGTGTATACATATTCATGAAAGGAAGATCAAGTTTAAATTTGAGCTATTTTCGACCGTTAGAAGAGTTATTGCCCTCGCCCCAAAATCTTGAATATGCTATTACTCTCTTAGTTTTCAATCGATTTTGATGAAACTTAAAATGGATGTTATTGGACCTAAATCGAAAGGTTTGAGAAAGTTTTATTTACTTCTGATTAAATTTAAGGCTTTTTCAAGATTTAGGCCTCTTACGTCAGTTTTGAGGAGTTATCGCCCTTTAATCTCTATACAGTAAGTGCTTCTATCAACATCAATTGCTCGTAAACACTCTAAAAACTAGAGTGTTTGGAGGAATCAAATGAAATTCGGTATGTGCATACATATTCATGAAACGAAGGTCGGTCGGTCTGTCGGTGGGTCCATCGGTCGGTCGCTAGGTCCGTCGGTCCGTCCATCAGTCCGTCAATATTTGCTTGTAAACGCTCTACAAACTAGATTTTTTGATGGAATCAAATGAAATTTGGTGTGTGTAGACTTATTTATAAAACGAAGATCAAGTTCGAATTTGAGCTATTTTCGACCGTTAGAAGCAGAGTTATTGCCTTTACCCCAAAATCTTGAATATTTACCATCCGCATGCCGTGATGGGCGTATATGGCTGTGGTCCACTATCTTTCTTCATGACGTTGTGTTCTGGTCTTTTTTCCAACACTTCGGTGCAACAATTGTCTAATTTTGATGAATTCTTGTCTTTAAAATATTTCAAACTATTCAATGATTCCTTTTGTAATTCATCTAATGAATTCTTTAAACATATTTTCCAATTTATTACCAATACAATTTGCTCACTTATTCTGAAACGATTATCTAACCTATTCTCTAATCTATTCTCAAAACGATTTCTACGATTTTCACTGTTATAAATGACTCAGAGGATTCCAAAATCTATTCTCAAGACTGGTGGGTTTCATATCTATTGTCAAAAAGGTTTTCTAATATATTCTACGAACGATTTATAAAGTATTATGACTTTTAATCTGTTCTCTCCATGATTTCTAACGATTTATATTTTCGACACATCGATTCTCTTTATCTTCCAAACGTCCATATAATGCACATAAAGGCAACTGTTTGAATTTTGACCAAACCTAACGATAACCAGTTTTTTTAAATAAAAGTTTTGTGAAATTATGTTATGTTATGCTATGTTATGATCTCAAATGAGTTTCATTTACAACAATTCGGTTTAGTTATTGCACTTGACTACATATACCAACCTTAAATACTATTCAACAAAAATAATAAAGATAGCTTGCGAGGCAAGGTAATATACGCCCACTGGCAGCTGTCAGAAATGATAAAACAGTCTTTAGTGACTTAAGTACGAATTTTCTCATATTGAAGAAATTTTATTAGTTTGAATTCAATTACATATATATGCCAGTTATTTATGCTGAGTAATTCCACAAAATTTTTTAAAATCAATATCAGTAACCCAAATACAACAAACAATTAAATCACACAGATCTAATCAAGGGCAAAAAACAACTTTTGACGCGTGTTTACAAAGTCAAGGGCAATAACTCAAAAAAACTTGTCCGAGATCTTATCAATTCCATTGATCACACCAATTTTCATCAAAATCGGTCGAAAACTGTAGCTTATATTGTGCTCACAAACAAATTTTGAAGCGTTTTACAAAGTCAAGGGCAATAACTAAAAAAACATTCATCGAAAATGCGTCAAGTTAGAATTTGTCCGAGATCTTAGCAATTCATCAGAATCGGTTGAGAACTGTAGCTTCAATCCTGCTCACGAACTATTTTTAACAAATTTCGAAGCGTTTTAACAAAGTCAAGGGCAATAACTCAAAAACCATTCATCGCAAATGCGTCAAGTTAGAACTTGTCCGATATCTTATCAATTCCAATGATTATGCCAAGTTTCATCAGAATCGGATGAAAACTGTAGCTTCAATCCTGCGCACGAACTATTTTTAACAAATTTTGACGCGTTTTAACAAAGTCAATGGCAATAACTCAAAAACCGTTCATCGAAAATGCGTCAAGTTAGAACTTGTCCGATATCTTATCAATTCCAATGATCACACCAAGTTTCATCAGAATCGGTTGAAAACTGTAGCTTCAATCCTGCTCACGAACTATTTTTAACAAATTTCGACGCATTTTAACAAAGTCAAGGGCAATA